ACACAGGTTTCTCCTGCTGCCCTTTAAGAGCCACCTCGGACATCTCTGCAGCCAGGCAGCCACAAGCACACCCGTGTAAACAAGGTGTGTTTGTCTGCAGACCTTCCACTCACCCCAGCAGCTCATCCAAAGTCCAGCTGCTCAGGGCTTTATCACCCAGTGAAGTAAATTGCTTCGTCTCCGTTGTCCCCTCCCCGGTGCTGTCACCCACTTCTCTCTGGTCCTTGTACAACAACAAGGCCCAGGAGCCCTGGAGACTGCAGGCACAGTGACTCCTCACCAGAAGGAGTGGCAAACCCATGAACTTTGCCTCCCTGCCCTGCTCCAAAGGGCTCACAACCCTTCCCGAAAGCCCTGCTGGGCCGGAGCCAACCCTTCAAGAACCTAAAGGTGTCTGGTTCTCACCGACTCAAATAATCTTTCAGGAGATCTGGGTTTTTTTCCCAGATATATTTACACCTTGCTGGCTACAGATCTCTTGCTGCTTCCCTCTTGGGGACCTTGTCAAAACAACGGGTCACCTCTGGACACATCTGGCTGCCCCAAGGGCACAGCTGTGGGCAGCGACAGGAGGAGGAATTCCCTCGGCTCTGGCATCACCCAAGGCCTGGAGCCCTTGGCACGAAGGAGGTGTGCAGGATGTTTGCCAGGCGGTCAGACCCGGCCAGCACCAGGGCAGCCTGTGTCTGTGACCTGCTGAGCTTCAGCCCTTTAATCCCGCAGCTCACAGGGACCCGCAGCTGCACCGCAGGAGCTCCCGGCCAACAAAACCGCCCGGCACGGGGCTTAACCCGCAGCACAAACCGCAGGGAAAGGAGGAGGGAAGCCGAGGGCCTTCCCAAACCCTGCGGAACACGCGTTTCCCCTTCATCCCAGCCCGCTTTTCCTCCAGAACCCATCCCAGTCCGTGTGCCCGTCGAGCCCTTCCCCGGGACCCGAGCAGCAAACACCGTGTCCGCCCCGTCGGGGCAACCGCGGCTCTCCTAGCCTCAGGGAGCCCCCGGGGCCCCCTCCCGCA